CTCGCTCACTGCCCGCAGGCAAAATTGCACGCTTTCAACTGGAACGTTTGTTTTCACTCTTATCATGGGCGGTCACGCATAACACAAGGTCGCGCCCAAGTCTCACGCGGACGAGAGATAGGGCAACTGAAACATCTTGGTAGAAGAGAATCTTCTTTGGTACATGTAGATATCTACCTATCTTTCGGGCTATCTGTGATTCAGTGCTCTACTGTGAGGGCCTGTCGATTGCTCTCCTGGGAACTCTGATCCATCACTCGTGCATCAGTGGGGCCGCCATTAATTACCGAGAACACGTTGTACTCGAACTCTAACGATCACCAGGGAGATCACCAGTGGCGTTTATATACTTAATTCTATAGGCCTACGCATGTAATTATTGCGAACAAACGTAAGCAACAGCGAGTCGTTGAACTTCAACCTTTGAGACAGGATGGCTCCTCCAGGCCGGGTATACACGAACATGTAATTCTATCACCTCTTTGGTATACAGTGTTCAGTTCCGTTTTGAGCATTTTCAGGTGGAAAAACATACGTTATTTCACTTTTTTAGGCAACACTAACTGTTGGGGTCTAAGTTTTGTGACCATAGATCACGTTATTCTAATAGAGGTTAAATCTACTTTGCTCTTTTTTTTGTTATTTCTCTCTTACTGTTAGCGAGTGAGAAGAGTGACGCAAATGGATGTACAGAAAAGTGGGAAGACATGGAATAGCACCAAAAGGCTAGCCCAGGATAGGGAAAGGTGGAAAGTGTTTGTTTGTGGCCTCTATCCTGATCCAGGGTGAGAAAGGCAATGGTGATGATGATATCCTTTACATCGTTCTCTAGTTATGAAGTTGGCTAAATGCTTCATGCCACGCCATGCCTTGCCATGCCATGCCATGCCATGCCATGCCATGCCATGCTATGCAATACGATCATGTATTCAACTGGGCGATAACGAAACATACGTGAACACATATTATGAGCTTGGAATACAGAATACGCAGGAGGCATAAATGTATTCTCACAAACCTGACAAAGCACATCCATGGCCAGCCGCTACCGAATATTATCAAGTCTGTATTAAACGGCAGATCTAGTGACGTGAATAAAGGGTTGGACGTCAAAGAAACCCAGGCCAATACAATAAGGCTGCCAAGGTCAGACAGTGATAGGCACAATAAGGAGAGGTTCACTGATTCTCGGACGCCCATCTTGATGAAGACGATGATGTTGAGGATGTTTGCAGCAGTGCCAAAGACAGCGATGATTGTGCTAAGAACAGACCTGTTGAGCAGGAAGAGTATTGAGCTAATTATGTGCCTCTAACAACCCACTGGCTTGGGCTACTTTAAGAAAACTAGTATTGCTGTCATCAATGTTGATTGTAAGATAAACATTGCACGGAGAGCTGAGTAGATTTTCACAGAAAATGCAATAATTGGTTATGGATCTCAATATGAAACGCCTGTCGTAAAGAAAATGTAGCCGATGAAGCAAACAG